CCCCGCCAGTGGCACGCCCCCAAGCGTGGGGCGTGGGAAGGGAGGGGGGTCTCTCTCCTCCCCCCCCCTGCATCTGGCCCCCCAGGGAATTGTCAGAACTAGTCCCCTGGCAAAGACCGCTTGCCCTGGAGTTGAGTAGTTGCTTAGGAAGGGGTGACGTGGTGATTTTGCTAGGAGTCTCCCAAGCATTATGGAAACATCTCTCTGCTGTTGACAGCATGAGGCCCCTGGTGCTGCTGTGATACTGTCTGCAGGTGTCACCCTGTGACGAAGTGGGGGGTTTTCTTGTGTTTTCCAGTGGGTTGCATGCAGAGAGGGTGGGACTCAGTTTCCCTGGGTGGTACTGGTTTAACGAGGTGAGGGGAGAGGGAGTTTGTTGTTACAGAGGACCGGAGTGGGAACTTGGGACCCCAGCTGATGGCCTGGAGGATGGATACCCCAGCGACCGGTGACCTGGTGACCCGGAGGCCCAGCTGAGGAGACGCAGCCGGTTCTGGCCAGTGGGCGGACAATGGGCTGCAGAGTGAGGACCCAGTGACCGAACCAGCCGGTTCCAGCCAGAGGACAGAAGCGAGGAGAGGAGGCCCAGACGACCAGTTTACGACCCTGTTTCCCTGGAGAGAAGACAATGGACAGAGGTGGGGCCTGGGGCCGGGTAGCTCAGATGCCCAGCTGGGAAGCAGGGGGGCTCGGGGCTGGAGAGGGGGAGCAGGCAGAGCCCACCTGGATGCAGAGACTGAGATGTGCTGGGTTGAGGGAGGCCAGGCCAGAGGCCCTGAGAGTTTCCTGTGCTGGGTTCAGATACAATAAACCCTCCTGTTTTACGCTGGCCCAGGCTCCCTCACAGACGCATTCCTGCTTCCCTGGACGGGTCACCTGCTCTACACCTTTCCTCCATTCCCCCTCATGCACAAGGTCCTGGCCAAAGTCCGCAGGGACGGGGCCTTGCCGGCACTGGTACACCACGCTGCTGGAGCTGTCGGTAGACGTACCAGTCACGCTGCCTCTCCTCCCCAACCTGCTCACTCAGGACCACGGTCACCTCTGCCATCCCAACCTGCGGTCCCTCCACCTCACGGCCTGGAAGCTGCATGGCTGAACCCCACAGAGCTGCTGTGTTCGGACCCCGCAAGGCAGGTCCTGCTGGGAGCAGGAAGCCCTCCACTAGAGCCACGTATCTGGTGAAGTGGAGAAGGTTTTGTGTTGGGGTGACCAGCGCCGCACCCCCCCCCAGGCGCCGGTGCCCCTCATTTTGGAGTACCTCCTGCACCTGAAACAGCAAGGCCTGGCGGCGTCCTCCACCTCGCTGCCATCTCGGCCTTCCACCCGGGCGCGTCTGGCCGCTCTGTCTTCTGTCGATGGTCGGTCGCTTTCTCAGGGGCTTGGACAGTCTCTATCCTCAGATCCATCAGCCTGTCCCTGCCGGGGACCTTAACCTGGTCCTTTCGAGGCTCCTGGGGCCCCCGTTCGAACCACTGGCCACGTGCTCCATCCTGTCTCTCTCCTGGAAGGCGGCTTTCCTGGTCACCATTATGTCGGCGAGACGCATCTCCGAGCTGAAGGCCTTCACCTCAGAACCGCCCTACATGGTTTTCCACAGGGATAAGGTGCGGCTCAGACCGCACCCGGTCTTTCTCCCCAAGGTGCTGTCAAACTTCCACACCAGGCAGAACATTTTCCTGCCCGTCTTTTACCCGAAATCTTACGCTGGTCCCCGGGAGCAGCGGCTGCATTCCCTCGATGTCCACAGGGCCCTGGCTTTCTACATCCAGCGCACCAAGCCGTTCAGGAAATCGACCCAGCTCTTGGTAGTGGGGGTGGACCAGATCAAGGGAGTCCCGATCTCCTCTCATTGAATTTCCTCCTGGATGACTGTCACTGAGTCCCTGGGCGATGCTCTGGAACTACTCCCCACAAAGCCAGTCAGGACTTTGGGGAGCCTCCTCTCCCTCGGAGCCGACTGTCTTCAGGGCAAGAAGCTCACACGGCTTCACCTCCTGGGTCTCTCCTGGGAGTATTCAGCATCTGCCCCTCCGTGCGCTTCCCACAGCGAGTCCGCCCAGGCGGGGTCCTGGGGCAGCCAGAGGGTTCTGCACCCCACTTCGCAGTCAGACGTGACTCTCAGCCAGCCAGTAAAACAGAGGTTTATTAGATGACAGGAACACGGTCTAAAACAGAGCTTGTAGGTACAGAGGCGAATGGGACCCCTCGGC